TGAAATCCCGTCCAGTCCTCATTGTCGGACTTTGAACAACTTCTCATACTCATTAATTATTCGGGAGGGGAAAAAAGCGAAGGAAATACATATAACAGAAATATATTGAAATGATTACAATAGATGAGGTGACGGTTTCGGCCACCATTTTGTTCCGGTAGGCAAAGTGTCGCAAAATAACAAGGAATGACCGGGAAATCGATGTCAAATAATTCTCGCTGAATTCAAATTCAGAAAGAATTATCAATTGCAAACGTTAGATACCTCAAAAAGGAGTTAACGGGCAAAATTTGAAAGGCGTACTTGATCTAGAGAGCGAGTAAACTCATTTTTAGTTCTCCATACATTTCTTTGTAATTTCAATACATTTCGTTATCATTTCCGGGGTCATCAGTGCGTGACGCGCGTGAAAAATACAAAGAAATGTATGGAGAACTAAAAATGAGTTTACTCGCTCTCTAGATCAAGTACGCCTTTCAAATTTTGCCAGTTAACTCCTTTTTGCAGTATCTAACGTTTGCAATTGATAATTCTTTCGGAATTTGAATTCAGCGAGAATTATTTGACATCGATTTCCCGGTCATTCCTTGTTATTTTGCGACACTTTGCCTACCGGAACAAAATGGTGGCCGAAACCGTCACCTCATCTATTAGAGCGCCCACTTAGTTTTGACAATGTACGTACTTTTCTCATTCAAAGACGTAAGATATAACTCTCTATTGGGAAGGTCATGTATTTTTCTTTTTCATAACGAAGTATACATTTGGAAATCTTTATAAGTAACTTCTTGACATTAATATTTTCATCAAAAGAGCAATTTCCGCATCTCATTTCCTTGGTCGTGAGAACCTGGTGACTAATTGGTCGCGAAGGAACACAAAAATGGCGGTGGACGCCAATTTGAGCAAAGAGTCCAACAACTGTAGTAACTTCTAGAGGCGTTTCTAATACGAGAAACTATGAGTGTAATGAGACAGGTTGGGCTTCTGGCAGCTGGCTGTCAGCCGTGGAATCTTGATGTATGCTCAACTAGTAGTACTGGAGAACGGTTCGCTTACTGTGCCACWCTTGCTATCTACATTTATGAGGTACGTTCTGTCAAGACATAAACCGKTCTATATAACCCTGGCTTGTKTTRYTGTAATGTTTGATAGCTGCTAGAAAAGTGTAGTTCGAACGCTTTATTGTTCAGAGCTGTATCTATCATATTTTTAACTTCTTTACTCACGAGTGCTTCATAAGCTTAATTGAGGGCCAACGCATTGTGTGTTTGTACAAATTATTTGGATTAGTTTGACAAAGAAAAGAGCATTTCAGTTCTTTTGCTAAATTAAACAAACTCGGATGTAATAGCAAATCTTCACAAATTTTGAAAAATAGCACTGTATCGATTGATTGTGACATGGCGAGGATTAAAAGCCGAATAATTCCTTTTCTTTTGGAATATGCAATACATGCCTTATTGTTTGTCAACTACACAAATTGCCCGAGGGAAGAAGCGGTGGTCCAAAATTTTTATCTTAAAAACTGCTATTTTGTATTTTTTTCACACTTGAGTTTTCCAGCTGTTCAAGAAGTACAGAAGCCTCTACGAGTAAAGTGCTTCCAGAATGTTTTTATAAGTGACAGCTATAGTTGATCATTTTTTTCTGTGCACCTTCAAAATATTCTAATTGTGATAAGCTTTTATCATTTGATCACGGYGCCAATTATTTCGATTTTTTTTCGCCAGAAGTCAAATGAAAAAGAAACTGTGAAACTTAAATTGTAAAAACTGTTTTCCAAATTTCAAATATGCCGTTAGGACTTTTTGTTGTTGTTTATTTTCTTGGTAAAATTAATTGTCAAGACACTAAAATAAATCAAAAGTAAACACATTAATATTGCTAGAATGGTCGCAGAATGTTTTCGTGTTAGCACCTTGCAATTTTACATTTTAAATAATTTCCGTTGTGTAATCAAATGACTCTCGGTTTTTGTCAAAAAGAGCCGAATTAAGATTCCCAATCGAGTGCTCTTAAATTTCATCACATCGTTTACATGCTATGATGATTATTTTTTTTCAATTTTTAATGTTTCGAATTAGTCATTTAACAACCCCACATAAAAACGGTGCAATGTCGACACCTTTTCTTTGATATTTGAATGGTCTTCATTGTTGACAGAATATTTAAGTTTTATGTTTACATATGTCCTCAAAGACCTCATATAAGTAGTCTAAAAATCGATGAAGTATGAAGTATGAATTTGTGAATAAATTGAAAGGACTTATAATAATTATACGCATGGCCTGAACATTGTACAACYTATAATACAAAGTGAACAAACTTCATTCTAATATCAATATTTTTTTGTATTAAAATTATATTATATATAATACTTTTAAATATCAAAATATTTGTAATTTTTTTAAAAAGCTTCAAAGTGTTCTTGATGTTAAGATTTCAAGTTAGAAAATGTAATTTATTCTGACCCTTAGCAACAGCTAGCTGACAACTGACTTAGAAACATGCAAATCTCAAATTATGTTATAGATACGTGTTTATAACTGGAAACTGCTGTAAAAAGCCTATCTGTGTGGTCAATGTTGAGAATTGAGTGATAAAATGAATAGTAGGAGATGTTATCTCCATGCTGTGACTTTTTATAGCTATCATAAAAAATGAAAATTTCAATCTAAAAGTCGCAGACATTGTCTGGCTGTTGTAATTTTTTTGTATAACAATTCAGCAGGCTACCTCTTTCTCAAGATGTATTTTTTACCACTAGTGCATTGTCCATTACTACTGTAATCTGTGTTGCACTCATTAGTCTTTTTTAACCTTTTAAAAAATGTCACTTGTCTTGGAGTTGATTTGTGTATCTGTGTTTTGACCATTTTGTGGTCTGTGCCTTTCCACAAATTATTTTAGTAGGAAATCTTCGTTAAATCAATTAACCATAAAATGTGTTGTTTGACATGATTAAAGCGGTTTATCTTTGTTTTTTTGTTAGGTGGACAAAAGCTTTGGTGTTTATAAGTTRATAAGTATAATGTCAGAACACAAGAAAACTATCACATCTCTGCGTTGGCATCCAACTGAATCCGACATCATTGCAAGTGCAAGTGCTGATTGCAGCATAATTATCTGGAATGTCTTGGAACAGAAGACCATAGCTATTCTTGATAATATCAAAAATGTCCCATCCTGCATTGGTTGGATGCCATTTGAGGCCAGTTCAATTGCCTACATCTATGGGCGTGGTCCTCTCTATATGTGGAACTATGCCCCYGACGGRGGAGGAACTGTTTCAAAACAATTTGAGTCAATTTCATTCTTCTCAGACATMTGTCAGTTTCGTTGGAATGTTAAGAAAGTTGGTAAAATTGTATTTGGTCATGCTGACGGCAGCTTGTCAGTGTTGTCACCAGGTGCTCGGCCATCAAAACATTGTTTAAGACCTGATGTAGCAAATGAAAATGACGAAGATGATCCAGTGACGGCAGTTGAATGGGATCCATTATCAGTAGATTATATTCTTGTGTCCAATGCATACTGTGGTGTTAGAATGATTGACACTAGTTCTATGACTGTAATTATGAATTTTAAGCTTGCRAGCCGTACAGCAAAGGTTCACACCCTGGCCTGGATCCCGACAGCCTCTGGCATGTTTGTTACTGGTGGTAAGCTGTTTAAAATAATAGCCTCCTAATTTGACATGGTTCCTTCTGTTATTTTGAAAAGTAGTCATGTCTTTACATTAGAGTGAGATGGACAATGAGTGTGCAATGATAAGAACTTGTTTATACAGACAATAGTCTCTTCACGGTTACCTGCACCATCTTGAAAGGTAGCCGTGCCTTTGCATCAAAGTGAGAAACCTTCTTTCACACCTACAGATAATTATTCACAGGTTTCTATCATTGCAAGCTCAATGGTTGTCTCGCTTCGATGCAAAGGCACGGCTACCTTTCAAGATGGCGAAGGTAACCGTGAAGGAGACTATTATTCTCAGATATCTATGATTGTCTCAATGGTTGTCTCACAGCTTTGGTCCACCAATTCATCTATCATTACTTTTACTGGTTGTCAATATTCATCAAAATGTGTCTCACAGTGCATTGTTTGYATTTTCTGTKAATTATGAGGTATTATTTCTCTYMACAGACACTCAATTGGGAGCRCTAAGAATATGGAATGTTTCTAAGTCAACACCAATAGGGAGYATCAAACTAAAAAAGACTGGMTTTCAYGCTCTGACAGTAATAACTTGTGACAACACTACAGCATCAACAACCAATGGTTATTCTCAAGGGCCAATGTCATCAACATCATCAGCTGCCGCACCGCCATCATCTCCATCATCTGGTGACATMCAGCTCCCCCCTGCTCAAATACTTTGTACATTTTTAGATGGTGGAGTTGGTTTATATGATCTTGGCAAGAGAAAGTGGAGTTTCTTACGTGATATGGTAAGAATAGTTATCTCATACAATTGGTAAAATATTTGTGCATGAAGCGCAGACTTCCTGACAGCTTCCAGGAATAACCTTCGATCATCATTTTATTTATTCCCATTGATAAATTTTACTCCTAACTTTATTAATTAAAATTATTATTTTTTTGATGTTTTAAACTCTTTTAACTATCAGATCCTTATTGTTGCTGCTTTGTCATTAGTGAAAATAATAAACACTTTTTAATTAGTGATTCTGATTAGCTAATGCTTTTTTAAAGTGATCTCTTAGTTTGTTTTTTAGTCGGTCCATATTTGATTGCTTTACTTTGAATTCTTATTTTCCTTCTTTAGGGACACATAGAAACCATATTTGACTGTAAATTTAAGCCAGAGGACCCAGATTTATTAGCTACRGCGTCATTTGATGGAACCATCAAGATATGGAATGTCAACACCATGTCTGCTGTAAGCTATTACTTGTATTATAAAGCAATAGATTAACAATAAAATATAATTATTGAGGAGAATGACTACCCTGGTTCTGGAGCCTTCTCTGTATTCACAGCAGAGACAAAAAAGACAAAAAAACAAAAAAACAGAGAGCTTCTGGAACCAGGGAAGAGAAGGATTCAGCATAGAGCGGATTTCGTATGAGTGGGAAACGGACGGTACTGTACTGTGACCGTAATCGTACTGTAACCAAATTCTAGTGCCCCATTGGTTCACCAAAATTGTGCAGGACAGGTCCAGTAACCGTGCGGTAATGGTGTCCCACTCATACGAAATCCGCTCTATTAGAAAATACAATGTTCTGCACAAATTTGTTAGACTAATTGGATAAGTGCATCACTAATTAGCATGGTTCATGGCATTTCATTGACCATTGAATCATTTTACCTATTGAGGACAATAGTTTATAATGATATTGCTTTTCTCTAGGTTGATACCTCTCCAGGGAATGAAGGAATYATTTATGCATTGTCATGGGCTCCAGGTAACGTTACGGTAGTCTTACACTAATCTTATTATTAGTTTAAGAGAATAATAATATTTTATTATAAAATGTTTAGGTGATCTAAATTGCATAGCTGGTGGGACAGCCAAAAATGGAGTGTTTATCTGGGATATAGGAGGAAAGAAAATCATCAAGAAATTTACAGAGGTAACATGGAWTCTTTGATGGGAACTAGCAGTAAACTAGTGTGAGCTGCATCAGTGTTTCAATCTTTTTGTCTTTTACTCACCATGGATCTTTGTCATACAGCAATGGAAATATTACATAAATATGTAATTGTGCACTAATTTTAGACCTTTCTTGTTGATTAACCATTTTTTTGTAGCATGGTAAGAATAGTGTTTTCAATGTAAGCTGGAATCACAAGGATCCACAAAGAATAGCGTCCTGTGGTGCAGATAATCACTGGTAGGTTATAAAATGATTAACACATTAGATTCAACAATTTGAACACCAGATTGAGTGGACTACAAGTTGATAGTCCATCAGGCCATACTCGGCCAATCAAATTCTCAACTCATAGTTCTTGTGACCAAGTTTGAATTTTGAAAAAAGACCAAAAAGAACAATTTTTTGCATCATTTTTTCACTATTTTAAGGCTATGCAGTTACATCATGTTTTAAAAACTACAACACTACATGTTTTTATTGCATTTCACATTAACTAAAAGATATTAATTGAATACTGTTCTCTGCAGTGTGGTAAGAAGAGTTGACGGTACTTTAATCAAGAAGTACAGACATCCTGGTGCTGTGTATGGATGTGACTGGAGTCTAAACAACAGGTAGATTGATATGAAAACAGGATAGGTAATAACTTTTATAAAACTCATTAATATTCATAAGGCAAAACACAATAGAAATCATAGCCCATGAAGAGAGTTGTATATTACATACAGATTTCTTGTTCATTTGCATAAACTTTTACTCTGATTTTCTCAGTCAGATTGAATTTTTTTTCAAAAGTTTCTTTAAAACCTGAGCTAATTTACCTTAACGTTTCATAAGTAATATACAATATTCGCGTGCGATCTGTATGAGGTTTAAAACAGCTCGCTTTCAGCTCGCTGTTTTAAATCCTCATACAGATCGCCCGCTCATATTGTATATATTACATAGACTATCACAGTATATTCCTATAAGTCTTACAGTTCTAAATTGTCTCAGCACTACATAATTAGTACAGAATTGATTTGAAAAGATTATTGTACTTTATTTTCTGCAGAGACATGCTAGCAACTGGGTGTGAAGACAGGAATGTCCGTGTGTATTATGTTCCTGCCAATACAGACATGCCATTGAAGGTTTTTTCAGGTCAGTTAATTACTGGTAATTTGTATTCTTGCCATTACATGGTCCGTTTTGAGTGATGGCGCAAACAGTTATGGCTATTTTTGCAATGCAATTATCCAGCCAATAAATTTAATCCATGAGAGATGCTTCAGATTGGACTCACATGTTGTATTAAAAAACAAATTTGCATTTGTAACCAACAGTTACTGTTGAGTTCCCATAATGAACATGAAATTGGCTAGGTGTTATAACCAAATATTTATTTTGCCTTATTAGGGCATACAGCCAAAGTTTTCCATGTTAAATGGAGCCCATTGAGAGAAGGAATGTTRTGCTCAGGCTCTGACGACAGGTAACAATATCTCAAATTATATATGATTTGTATCATAAAAAAATTCTACAATTACAATCCCATAAAAATAAGGAATAATCTTGTAACTGTGGTATGTAGTGTTATTCACCATGGCTCTCTTCCAATCAGAAATTTAGAAAATTTACAATTATTGTTAGTGATGAAAAACTAAAAATAATGTCTGCAATCAAACATTTCTTGTAAACACTCGTCATTAGTCAATATTCACAAAACCTTTTTTTTTACACAGGACAATCAGGATATGGGATTATACTCAGGTATACAACACTATAAAATTATTATACACCACTACACGAGCAGCATGCTCCTAAAATAGTATGCCAAAAGAGCAATCCTTTTAAAACAATCAACAACTAATAAGATTTAGTTATCAACTAAAAAGGAAATTGTCTTTGTTTATGCCTCATTGAATTCTTAGTTAGTTGATAACTAAATCTTATTAGGCGCTAATTAGTTAAGAATTGTTTCACACTTATGTGGCGTGCACTCTTGACTACAACTTGTTTAGAATGATTGATAATAGTGTCAATATAAGGAATGCCTCTTTTTTTAAGGGATAGTTTGTGTTCTAGGATTTTTGTGTCCTTGTACTGGAGGGTCATGGTGGGCCAGTTAGAGGTTTATTATGGAACCCAGAAATCCCTTACTTACTTCTATCAGGGAGTTGGGATTATACAATMAAAGTATGGGATATAAGGTAAAGCTGCTGTTCTATCAGCATCATCAATCACTGAAGTGATTTGTGATTTAAGTAACTATAATTTGTGGCTGCAGTAGGCAAATCTTTTATATTTTGATTCGTGTGCATGGACGTTTCACTTTTCACAATTGAATATCAAAAAGAGTTTGCCCAATTAATGTTCCTTGAAAATATGAGCTTCCTATCAATATGAAATTGTTTTCTTGTCATGCTTTTATAGAGACTTTGTTGTTGACCATAAAAAATTTAAGCTTCTCATAGTTTGTGTGCCRTGTGGTTGTAAAAACTACAGCAATTTATACAAAGAATGTTTAGCCTCACTAGAGATTTTGCCATACAATGCCACACAGACAATGCCATACAACTCAATGCTAATGAGCAGGCTTTTGTTAACAAAGATCCAGTGACAATAGAAAACAGAGAAATTGGAAATGATGTTAAGAAATTATAAGCCTTTATGCTTTATGTTTTATGTGATGTTGTATTCATAGGAGTGGATTGTGTTTTGATACCATCAAGGACCATGGTGCTGATGTTTATGGTAAGTGAAAATTAGTGAAGGTATTTGCAGCAAACATCAATGATTTTCTCAGAAAAGGTGATGTGATATCTTAAGGCTGAATTAGACAACACAGCATTTGCCTGCAGCCATCACATGCAACCTGCGTAAGTCATTCTTACAACATGGCTACATGGCTACAACTGTCGTAGGGCTGTTAAGCAATTGTTTTAAATCTCCACGGCAGTTGCAGTCATGTTGTAAGGGTTGCATGTAATGACTGTAGGCAAACGTTGTACAATCCAATTTGACCTTTAGAAATTGTAAATTTGAAAAAAGTGTGTGCAGGAATGCATAAAATAATATAAGAATACATGCTGCATTTCCACATTTCATGTAACCATCTTTYTAGGTTTGACATGCCACAGGCATCGTCCATTCACTATAGCATCATGTTCAAGAGATTCTACCCTRAGAATATGGTCACTGGATAAACTAGCAAGCTCTCTACAGATAGATGTCCTTGCACAACAACCATGGACAGAGGTCATTGCCCCAACTATAGGTACACGCAATACAACTGTAAGATTTTTTAATTAGTAAAAAAAGGTTTTTGGATTTGTCTAAGTTATTGTAAGTTAATGGAACTTTTAATGAAGCTTTTGCTTGATATGTTGGTAGGTCTTAATATTTTCATTTGTTTATTAATATTTTGGTTTATAATTGACTGTTTGATGAAGTTTTTTTCTACTTGTCAGAGATCTTGTCAACCCTCGAAAGATAAAATCCATATCTCTCCGAGCCTATGCAATATCCTACATTTATCATTCATTAATTACACCATTCACTAATTAATATTCTTTGTATTGTGTTAGATGATGCACTAGTAGCTGGAGCTCCTCCACTGTTATCAGGTAGGATGTCACGAGACATCAAAACGGCCATTGACAAGACTGSAGATGTTGGCCATCAAATGGCAATTCAAATGTTTTCCAAATTTTTTACAGTAAGTAGAAAGACGACAGAGCAGATTTTATATGACAGTGCAACAGCTCAATCAAATCAAAGTATATGACAGAGAAAATATTATATGGCTGAAGCAACACACATTCACATATATTGCACATTCAYATGAAATATTAACTTTGAACCCACTGACTGAGTCAACTAGTTGTTAATTTTATTAAGTTTACAACTATTAAGGTTCATATTTTCATGTTAAGAAGGGTCAAATTATGCTTTTTTTTCATAGCCACCATGTGGAGCAGAAAATCTGTGGGATTTGGTATCYTTTCTCAAGAGTGATGATGAGGGCACTCTTTCTGTGTCTTATTCTAAAGGGATTATGCACACCAAACACTTGGTCAAGTACAGCGCTGTGAGTAATACAACATTATGCTTTTCTGTTTGGTGAAGCATTTCAGTGATCTTTTTGATATTTTTCATTATTTCATTTAGTATTTGCTCTTACTAAAAAATTGTTTTGCAAATCTTTGAATTGATGACTCTGTTACTTACTTTGAAATGTTAACTCTGAGGTCTAACTGTGATAACCTGAATCAGCTATATAGTATCATCATCCAAAATCCCACAATTTTAAAGATTGTTGTTAACATCCCTATTCATGGTTGTGTTTATTTATTTTTTTTTGTTGTTGTTCATAGTCTGAAGCACAGGAGTTGGAAACCATTAAGATGTCTCGTCTAAGCACAGGGTCRCTAAGCAGCAGTCAGGATGAAAAAATCAGGGAAGCAGCAAACCTTCATGTTAAGATTGGTGAACTACAGCGATACTGTGAACTCATGGTTGAGCTTGGACAGGTGAGACATTGATATCTTCATTTGGGCTTTGAGCGGTAGAATAGAAAGCTGAACATGTATTGATATTAGAATTGTGTCATCCATGTCTCATATCCCAGTATATGCTGTGTAAATGTATTCCTTTCTTTTTTTTCAACTTACTGGCAGTTTAATACAGCTAGAGAATGTTTTATGTAATGTTCGTGTTCGACATATAAGATGTCACTGTTATTTCTCTCCAGTGGGACAAAGCTCTTGCTGTTGCTCCTGGTGTATCAATGGACTACTGGAAACTACTCATGGAGAGGTACGTCATTTTATCTTTCAGGGAGTAGAACAGAATCGATGCTAAAACAATAGTTAAGAACAGCTGCTAATATGCTATAGAATAGTCTCCTTCACGGTTCCCTGTGCCATCTTGAATGGTAGCCATGCCTTACATCGAAGCGAGATGACCATTTAGCTTGCAATCTCTTATGATAGATACCTGTAAATAATTGTCTGTAAGTGTGAAAGAAGGTTTCTATCATTGCACGCTCAATGTTCGTCTCACTTCAATGCAAAGGCACAGCTACCTTTCAAGGTGGGGCAGGGAACCGTGAAGAGGACTATTGAGGGTGACATTTTTTTTTCTCATTTTCCTTATTCCTTGCTTATGAAATTGTTTTGTCATATTGATAATATCGAATATTTCAAAACGTTTTTTTTGTTCCTTCATTAGACGAGCYGATCAACTGGTGCATGAAGATGACGATAGTGCCATTCCTTATTGTGTTTCTACRGGAAATACTCAACAGGTTTGTAGAACTAAAATAATTTGAACATCCAACTATGGATAATATAATGGGTATTGTTCCTTAAAGGTAGGGATGCCTTACAGGGACTTCTACTTGAATTCTATTCACATTTTTGTGTGGAATTTATTTTACAGTGCAAATTTCAGAAGTTTCACAAAATGATTGTTTAATCAAAAACTAACCTAACTATTGTTTAATCAGAGCAAAATAAAACACTCTCATATTGAAGATCAACTATATAATATAAATAATCTTATTTCTGGGGTGTGCTTGTATGAAAGGTAGATAACGCTTGAGGACTTATGGGTTGTATAGTGCCAATAATCCATGCCGTAAATGGATATATTATTAAATCTTGATTAATAGAAGTAATTTAAAATTATACTGTTCAGCTTGTGTCCTTCTTCACATCACGTGGTCAGCTCCATGATGCATTGCTAGTAGCACAAGTTGCATGTGAAGCTGGTTTTCCTATTCTACAAGACAAGAATGCTAACAAGATTCCTGACTTGAAGAAGAATGATGTTTTACCAAAATTGAAACATGAAGTTAGCCAGAATTCGCAATCGTATGTCAAGTTTATATTTACCTTTTTATATTACTCCCCTACTTTTTCTCTCTTTCTCTTTTTTATATTATTTTTTCAAAAATCTCTCCCTTAATCCCTTTGTGACTGCCTGTGAAAGAACCATTGAAAAACAGGGAAAGATGTAAAACACTGACAAAGGAGTTTAAAAAGGCAAAAGCAACAACAAAAACAAGAGAAAGTAATAAAGGAAATAAAAATAACTAAAATAATGAAAAGAGAAAGTTAGTGTGTGAATGAATGATGGTTCTGTTTTAGTGTGTCATATTTTTTGCATACCCGTTGAGTACTGAGTTGTATTAGATTCTAATCTATGTCTTTTGATTCATATTAGATTGTTACATTCAACCAGTAATACTCTTGCTGATTGGTATTACAATAATGGTCAATGTGTGCAGGCAGCTTGTTGTCATTTGTCAGTTGGGAATATCAAGGTAAAGATGGATTTATTGTAGTAGTCTATATGAAGAGACTTTTTATGATGAAAAGATAATTTTGGTGTTGTAAATAAAGTTGCATGTACTTAGCTGCCAGTTCCTGGTACATTATTTATGAAATGAATAAATCAGTGTTATACTGAAATCCTTAGATAGTTGTGTTARTTCTGTGAACCAAAAGTTGTTTCAAAGTATTTTGTGGTAATAACAATCTTTTTTCGAATTTTTTAATCATAAGACACTACAGTATATGTATCTCAAACCATTTCGGCCTCCAGAAAACTTATGAATTCTTTAGCATTGTAACTATGTTTCATTTACAGCTAGCCTTATCCAAACTAGTCCGTGGTAATGAACATGAACTAGCTGTCAGTATTGGAATTTTCTTGCAAGCTACAGACTCCATTATATTTCAACGTGCTGTAGWATTGCTATCATGGAAGTGTGAACAAATGAAAAAATGGTGAGATAAAAACAGAAATCATATATTAGTTGATATACAAAGTAAGAAATAATATGTGACAAAATTTCAGCAAGTATTGAGTGCAGAAAAAGGATAGGATAGTGTCAAGAGTGGTTTTTGTTTCTTCTATCAGGGAAGCTGCACTAACTATCCTGAAGACCATTCCTAACAATGACGAATGTCTGTTGAAACTTTGTGCAAGATGTCAGGCAACAGCTGCACAGATCAATGATCTTCATGCAAAGGTATTTACAGATATTTCTACATTATGTATCTCTTGATTTATTAACATAATAAATACCTAAGCAAATGCTGAGACAAACTGTGAAAAAAYACTGAAATATGTCATGGTAATTTATCTGTTTGTAATACAACAAACTTCAAACGTATATGTGATGTGAGTCCTGCTTGGAGTCTACTTCTCTGATCCTACAACACAGATTGTTTAATTATTATTTCTGTTCATGTTGTTGATAATCAATATTACAGGCAGGTTTTCCTGGCTTAGATGAGTGTACAGCAATAGCAGAGGAACTATGTGAACAGGAGAAATTCATTGGAGCAATGCAATACTATCTACTCTCAAACACTCCTGAACTTGCCTTGGATATCGGGTTGAACCTTGTGAGAGGTGAGTATTGGGCATCCTGTGGTTTTCATTTACAACTTGAGTTGTTTGGTTGTTGGGTTGATTCATTGACTGATTGATCTTTTGTTGGTTGCTGGCTTGGGCTAGTTGGTTGGAGGGTAAATTGTTTGGTTGGTTACTCTAGTGATTGGTGAATTTATTATTTACTGGTTATTTATTATTTATTAGTAATAAAGAATTTTGTTTATTTGAATGTGAAATTAATTCATGTGTTGTGTTTGTATTTAGATACCATGACTAAGCCATACTGACTCATTGATTGATTTACTTATTGATGAATTGATTGTTCATTATTTCTTACTAATGAATGATAATGTGTGTGTTTTTGTTTGTAATTGATTTAGTATTGTATTTTGTATTTAGATACCTTAGATACCTTTAGATACCTTTAGTATTGTGTTTGTATTTAGATACCATGACTAAGCCATACTGGGGAGTTGATGATGTCATCAAGATTGTTCAATTAATGTGTTGTGTAAGAAATGACAGGTTGATGCAGACATCAGTTAAAAAGTAAGTCATTATTTTGCACTCAGTAMAACTATTTCAGCAACCAAACAAAAGTAGAATTCTCTGAAGAATCAATAGCCTGCTTGGAAGCTCTAGAGCAAGAAGGAGGTGCTCCCTACTTTCCCCTTATATCCCATTCTCAGATCGTCSACAACTATTTCTTAATTTTCTATTTTTGAAGCTACTTGTAATCTCATAGCCAGTTCAAGTAGAGTGAATGTCCTATGGCATTATAGGTGTTTGTATTATCATGATGTATTATAATAGTTTGTACCATTTTTAAGTATTATTCACTATTTTACAGGCAAAGACAAGAGTTAGTRGCACTAAGTGCATATATTGGTGCATTACAAGCTATGCGTAGACAGTATACACCCATAGTATATCCTCTTCTCAAGCAAGCAAGGTATGACAASCAGTGTTATGTGTCTGGTATTAGAAGTACATTCAAAGTTGTTTTGTACTTCTTCAGGCATTTGCTTCATCGAGACAAGGTAGATTTGGCWGTMCCATCACTTCAGGTACAAGCTGAAGCAGAAGCCTGGCTGGCATTTAACCCACCAAACAAGTAAGAATATCATAATAGTGAATACATCTTAAAATGTTAAAGAGAAACTTAGCTATCTTTCTTTTTCTTTTAGTTCGAGTTCAAAACCTACACCAGAACAAAAGGCAGTGTGGGACAGGTTCAGACAACGTGCAGGTAGTCAAGTTTAACTTTGGGTAGTTTTTAATACAATTTGAGAGACATTATGTGGCTTTGGATTGAACAAAAGTCAGTGTTTAAGCTTGAAATGATAAGTACTTGAAAATATGAAAACAAGTATTTATCACTTCAAGGTCAAGTATCTTCTTGCTTCAGTCCAAGGCACGGATGCCTTCCAAAATGCTGTACTATAAAAAA